CGAACCTCATAATGCTATGTCATGCGTGTGGCTCGGTGGAGTGCTATGCCGCGCATGCAATGTCAACATGCAGTGCTATGCCATAGCATAATGCGAGCGCCACCGCCCCTCCCACACCCCCGACGTAAGCAGCCCATCAATTTCAGTTCGTCTATGATGTCGTTATCTCCGCCCCCTTTCTCCCTCTTCGACTGGCTCCGTGGCCCCCCTCGCTCGTCCCATGGGGTGCCCCCCCACCTCCCCCCCTCCAGTCGTCGTGGATGTAGTTATTCCGTTTCGGTGCTGTTTCATTCCGTTTCAGTCCGTTTCGGTGTTGTTTCGGCGTTGTTTCAGGAGAAGGAGAAGGAGGATGAGGAGGAGGAAAAGAAGGGGGAGAGAGGAGGATAATGATGAGGAGGAGACGGGTGAGAGGAGGGGGCGAATGGGGAGGAGGAGGAGGAGGAGGGGGAGGAGGCGGTGGCGGGCGCGCCTCAGCGCAGAAAGGCGCGGACAAGCGCCGCCACATCGGCTGGCGCCAGCCGCGCCCGCAAGAGCGCGGCGCAGGCGATGCCTGCGGCGACCGCACTCTCGCGCGGCATCGCCGCGGGAATGGGCGGCGGCCGAGGGCCCGAAATGGCCTCGACGTCGCGGGTATACATCGCCACCACGTCCTCGTCCACGAGCCATATGGCTCGTAGATGAGGGCCGCGGTGGATGGGCCTGTGCGAGGCCAGCCCCATCGTCCACGTCTCGGGGACGCCGAGGAGGATCCCCGACATCCCCGAGCCCTCCGACAGGAGGACGCCCCATGGGTCGGGCTCGTCATCCCAGATATCGTTGATATCCACCATATCAGCGATATCTGGGATGACGAGCCCGACTCACGCAGCAAGGGCAACTCCAAGGAGGAGCGGCTTGTACGCCGAAGCGCAGCGCGCGGGCGGCGCCCCCTCCTCGAGGAGGAGGAGGAAGATCATGATGACGGCGAGGAGGAGGAGGAGCCAGAAGGATAAGGAGGATGAGGGAGGAGGAGGAGGAGGACGCGGAGGAGGAGGAAAGGAAAGGAATGAGGAGGAGGAGGATGAGGAGGGGGAGGAGGAGGAGGAGGATAAGGATGAGGAGGAGGATGGGGAGGAGAAGCGCTTCAACAGTCAAACAGTTGTCGTTCTCCTCAACCCCCCTACTCCATCTTCTCCTGGCTCCGCGGCCTCTCTCGCTCATCTCATGGGGTGGCCCCCCACCTCCCCCCCTCCAGTCGTCGTGGATGTCGTTATTCCGTTTCGGTGCTGTTTCATTCCGTTTCATTCCGTTTCGGTGTTGTTTCATTGCATTTCATTCGTTGCCGTAAGTTCATTTCCGTTTCATTCCGCCCCATTCCATTTCATTCCGTTTCATTCCATTTCGGTGTTGATTCATTCCGTTTCATTCCGTTTCGGTGCTAGTCGTCTCTCCTGGCGCCACATAGCGTCGCCATGTAGCTTGCCAGCTCATCTCATCCATAGCCGTTTGGCTCACGAGCTTGAAGGCTATCACCTCGCGAGCCCGAAGGCTGGGTCACATCAGCGCTTAAGCTTATGCGGGCACCAGCTGGATGGCCAGCTCAAGCTGCAACTGCAGCTTACTAGTCAAGGAGATCGGTAGCGTGAAAGCCTTTTTTTCAAGGCTCGGGCAGAAATGAACAGCAGCGGTGATCCCCCGCTCCAGAAGAGCTTTGCCGACACTCTGATCAGCATGCTGAACAATATAAAATGTTTCGGCCCAGCCGAGGCCACCCAGATCGTTGACGCGTTGAGGGGTGAGCCGTGCGGCGAGGACCAGACCAAGCGGATCATGGCCACCGTCGACAGCAAGGTCGCCAAGGGCAGCGGCCCCGTCAAGCCAGAAGGCTCTGGTAAGCAATCGCTTAAGGAGTGGTGGTGTTACCTAACGTCTGCGGACTGGGCTGTGCTCAATAACCCCAAGCTTCCGGTGCACCGCAAGATGACGACGATGGCCGAGCGCGCCATGGCCGTCGGTTGCAACGATCCTGCCCAGCATACGTTCAGGTGGGGGACAGCCCTACTAGCAATCACGCATTACGAGGCCCCACCCGAGCCAAAAAAGCTTTGGGATTTACTGAAAGACTTCAAGGCTTGCTTCAAGTCCGAAAAGAAGGAGTTCGGGTTCTCGCGCATCTTGGAATACCCAGCTTCGCCATCGGAGCTCCCAGCAGACATCTTCCAGTCTGCCTACCCTGACGATGACCAGCCGATCGCGATCGAGCTCAAGGGCATCAACACAGTCGCTGACAGTATATCGTTGCGCTCCAACAATAGCAAGCTGAAGTCGTCTTTCGAACCAGATGTTAAAGCAAAGTTTCAAGCAGCAAAGGCAGAGCTTGACACCGCCCAGATCCATGACACCACGCCAGCGCCCACAGCCGACGCACGCACCGCATCGCCAGCAGGGGCGCTCATCCCATCACCGACTGACCCGTGCGAGATGGGATTGTTCTACGAGTACCAGCACAAGTTGCTCGAGTACCGCAAAGAGAAAAGCCAAGCGGCTGCGCGGTGCCCTGAAGCACCTCCCGTGCAAGTAGAGCCGCGAGCCCGCTTGGCTGTCCACCGCGCCCCTGATGGGACGCTGAAGGTTGCCAACCATGAGACGCCTGTCACGCGCGAGCTCGAAACCCCTGAACATGGGGAGCAGGGCGCTGTAAAGGCTGAGCAGCACGAACCCGAGGGCGATGCGGGCCACGACGCCGCCGATGATGACGACGGGCCGCGCGTAGAGGACTTGGACCCCCACACCCGCGCTGCGATCGAGGCCCCCAAGAAGCGCAAGAGCAAGCAGAAGGAGGAAGCGAAGGCGAACGTCGCAGCTAAGAAGGAAGCTGCTAGAGCAGCTGCAGAGCAGGGCGCTGGGGCCAAGACTGAGGCGCCAGCGCGGAAGCGCCCAGCAGCAGCCGCTGCGTCCATCAAGCCCGCCAAGGCTGCTAAGACCGAGCCTGCCGCGGCTGCAAAGCGCGTGAAGAAGCCCCAGGCGGCTACTGCCGACTTGAAGCCGATCCCGAAGTCTAAAATCATGGGCGCAATGCCGTCGATGCCAGAGGACGGTTCGAACCCGCCGCCAGTCGTCTACAAGCAAGGCATAATCTACACGAGCCGCAAAGCCTTTCGCTTCCGTGCTCTCAGAGAGCGCGGCAATTCATTGCGCTTAGCGAGCCACCGCCAGACGTCGCACCGCTTCGTCGAGATTGGTTGCCCCCCTCCCCCCTTCCCCCGCCGACCTCCCCCCCCCCCCGCCGCCCGAACAGTTTGATGTCGCTATGCGTTGGGTGTCTTGGGTGCGTCCTCCTCCCCCTACTCCTCCTCCTACTCCTCCTCGTCGCCACCATCCCTCTTCGTAGTGGTAAAACAAATCGTCTTTTTTGGATGTGTTGTTTGACCTCCTCCTCCTCCTCCTCCCTCCTCCCTCCTCCCTCCTCCTTCTCCCTCCTCCCTCGCTGCTCTCTCCTCCCTCCTCCTCCTCTTCCTCCTTCTCCTCCCTCCTCCTCCTCCTTCTCCTTGCTCCTCCTCCCTCTCCCTCCTCCTTCTTCTCCTCCTCCTCCTCCTCCCCCTCCTATAGCTCCTCCTCCTATAGCTCCTCCTCCTCCTCCTCCTCCTCCTCCTCCTCTCCTACCAACCAATCCTCGCCTCATGTGTCCATCGTTCGTCTTGGGATCGGGGGCCGTAGTCAGGGCCATGAGCGAGCGGGAATGGTGGCGAGGGTAGCAGAGTATCTCACAGAACGCGCCTAAAGCCCCATGGGCTGGTCGGGCTACTACACCGAGAGCTCCAAGGCTTGGGGGGGGGGTCTAAGCCGACCGCTGAGGCGTGGGCTGCAGCCGTCAAGGCGATCGACGACGCTGAGGGGACGTCCTGAGACGGTCATTGTTGCACTATCATATAGACAGGCTTTTCGCACAATACACAAGCACTGCGTGCTACGCCTCGGTTGACACCTGGCTCTCGAGAACGGGTTGCAAGTCTGGAGGGGTGTGGCAAGAAAAGAATGTATGCTCCTCGCTTCATCAATTGCGCACCCTCGTTCTGGAGCAAGTGCTGGCGCCCCCGCCCGTAGCCCATTTCGCTCAGACCTCGGGCTTTGCAGCGTCTACCGCAGTTTCGGATGCAGCCGCCGCGGGCTGCTAAGCTGCGCAGGCTTAATGAGTTCCGTCGTTCCAAGCCTCACTGTACGGCTTCTGCTTTAGCGGCAATTCTGGCGGACGTGAGGGACAATGGTCTCCCAGAAGTCATATATCGGAATTCCATGCGTGCCGCGAGGGATGCTGTTACCACAACTGTCGGCCAGTACGGTCCTATAGTGCAAAGCTTCACGCGCATTGATGCAGAGGAAGAGCCAGCTAGCATGCCCATCGCCTGTCCGTTCGCATCCTTAGCGGCAGCTGTCGAAGAGAGCGCGAATTTTCGGAAGTTCTTGAAGCGCCAGCTGATGCTTCACCCATCGACGCCCGAAAAGCCATGGAACTTGATTTTGTATTCTGACGAAATCACACCAGGGAACCCCTTATCACCAGCGAACCAGAGAAAAATCCAATCTATTTATTGGAGCTTCTTGGAATTCGGTGTGAGCGCGCTCAGTCACGAGGAGGGCTGGCTTGTGCTGATGACTGAATTCTCCTGTTCTGTGAATTCCCTCTCTGCTGGGTTGAGCCAAGCATTCGCTGAGGCGATTCAATGTTTTTTCAAGCCTGCTGGCTTTCATTTCCAAGACGGTGGGATGGCCCTTGGCTTAGACGGGGATAGCATCAGGCTGTTTGCTAAAGTCGGCGTGGTGTTGCAAGACGGGGGCGCTCATAAAGCTGTTTGGCAAGCCAGGGGCGACGGCGCGTCCAAGTTTTGTATGCTTTGTAAGAATATGTTCACAGCCGATTCAAGGGTTGTTGATGAGGATGGTTCAGCCATGTTGCGTTGCAACGAAATACATCTCGATGGGCTCGTGGCGCCCACTGACCATGAGCTTCGCACCAATGCCAGGTATCTGGAGCGCATGTCGCGGACTCTGTCTAATGAAGAGTTCGTTATGTTGCAGCAGGCGCTGGGCTTAACGTTTGCTAGGCGAGGCTTACTGCTCGATAGAGCCTTAGACAGGCTGATCAACCCAACAGAGGTGTTTATGCATGACTACATGCACGCGCTGTTCGTCGACGGTGTTGTGAATCTCGTGACCTACCTAACTTTCGAAGAGTTCATATCTGCTGTGCTTAATGGCGTGTGGGAGTCATTCTCTGGCTTCTTGGCAACTTGGGTGTTCCCTGGAAGGTTTCGCGCTACGCATTTAGACAGCATTTTCAATGCTGATCGGAAGGACAAGCACAGAAAGGCCCAACACGTAAAATGCCAGGCGTTTGATTGATTGTCTATGCTTGGCGTGCTGATGCTATTCACTCAGACGGTCCTGCGACCTATGGGGGCAGCCAGTGCGGCTTGCGACGCTATGATAGCTTGCGTTCAGCTGTCGCAGCTGGTAGTTGCAACCAGTCGGATCGACGTGAGCCCAGCGAGGCTTCTAGGTTGTGTTCATAAGTTTTTGGAATATTTCACTGCTGCTTTTGGATATGAGTCTTTGACACCAAAATGCCACTGGCTTCTCCACCTCCCTGAGCTACTCGAAAGAAACGGGAGGCTATTGAACTGCTTCGTCCTGGAGAGGAAGCATAGAATGCCAAAGAGATACGCCACCGAGCTGGCGAACATCTCTGGGTCAGCCAGCAAGTCGTTGCTGAGCGAATGCGTTGCCCATCACCTGTCAGCAATAAAGAGCCACAGCTTCAATTATGACGTCGGCTTGTTGCAGGGCCGCAGGGCACCCAAGAAGAGCAGGCAGCTGATCTTGGACGCATTGGATTTGGAAGGTGATGATATCCCAGTGAATGTAGGTAAAGATTCTCGCTTCAGCCAGCTCGGCTTATGCACGCAAGGGGACGTTGTGCTTTTGAACGGCTCCGATGACATACTTGCCGCCCGCGTGAAGTTGCATTTCGAGGTCAGTGGAGAAGCTGTTTCTATGATGGAGGTTATGGAACTTTCTCGGCGCATCCCTGGTACTGCAAAGGCAGTGTGGAAACTTTCTGAGACTCCAGTGGAGTGCTGGGAGACCAAAGCTATTTTGGCTGCAGTAGAACACTGCGTGTACGCAGACGGCACCGTCGGCACTATCCTGCCATTGGAGTTTTCATGATGGGCTTTGCTGGCGCTTTGCGCTCAGGAAAAAAGAATTCGCATACGCTTCGCGTAGCCCCGCCGCACAGCCCATCCAGAAACGATGTCTGTGCATTTAAGCCATTGCGGCTGAAGGCAACGAACAGGAGGAGGATGAGAAATGAGGGGGGCTGCTCCGCTTCTCCTTCTCCTCCTCATCCTTCTTGCTCCTGCTGCCTCCTCCCCCTCCTGCAGGCACCTGCTGCTGCTGCTGCTCCTCCCCCTCCTCCCCAAAGCGGCATGCTGAGACCGCGGGGCCCCGACGACGACCACGACGACAGATGCAGAGACGACATTCGGCGGCGGACCTGGTGCTACGCGCCCGCCCCTACATATGCGGTGCAACCTATATGTGGTGCAACCTATGTGGTGCATTATGTGCTGTGGTACAACCTATGTGGTGCATGCTAAGCGGTGCAACATGTAGTGGTGCAACCTATGTAGCGCGGTGCAACCTATGCGGTGCATCCTACGTGGTACAACCTACGTAGTGCAAACTGATGTGAGAAGTAACAAAGGAACTTACGAAATCGTTGTATTTTTATGGTTTGTTAAAGCGAACGGTAAAGTTTATAAAGTTTATAACTCTGTTTTGGATATCTGCTGATAAACTTTATAAGCTCGCCAAACTTTAGCTAAACACCCTAAACCTTAACAAACCAAGGATGCATCTCAGTGGGGTTAAGGAGCGGGCGTAGGCGACCATGATGTGAGCGATAGCGTTGTCCGCCCTCCCGGCCGTGGTCTCGGGGTCGATGTGCCCGGCGGCTCCCGGAGAAGCGATCTCCCGTGCCTTGTGGGGCGGGCAGGCTGGCGGGTCGACCTCGGGGAGGTCGGCTGGCGGGAGGCCGCGGGGCGGAGTCGGCGGCCTGCGGCCCCGCGCCTCCCCTCCGGCCCTTCCAGCCGAGGCGGCGCGGTCGGGCTTGGCCGGCGGTGGCGCGGGGCTGCGGTTGCCTGGGCGATGGGCGATGGCGATCAGGCGACGGGCCGGGGTGATATTTTGGTGGGGGTGTGGGAGAGCGGCGGGGATTGCCGCTGCCCGGGCTGGACTGGCGCCCGCGTGTGGACAGCGTTTGGCTGTCGGAGGTGCAGCTTGTCTAGGCGCGCCGGTGCGCGCTGCGCCTGGGCGGCCTGCCTGCTGGCAGGCGCTGAGCCAGGGCCGCCAGAGCCGCCGGAGGGCCGTCCGCGGGCTGGGCCGCGGTTCTGCTGGCGTCGCCTCCGCGCGGGCGGAGGCGGAGGGGCGGGCGGGGCGGCGGGCAGTTGCGGAACTTGCCGCGGCGCTGCGCCCCGCGGGCTCGCGCCCCCAGATCCACTTCTGCCATCGCCCAGGGGGGAGAGCCTCAACGGGTCGTCCTCGCCGTCGGGCGCGCTGGCCAGTGGCCGGTGGCGACCATTCTTGGATCGGGGGCGAATGTTGTCGGAGCGACGCGCCGCGGCGAGGGGCGCCGGACCTGCCTGAGCGGGCTTCTTGTCCTTCTTCGGAGCAGCCCGGGGAAGTGCAAGGCGCCCGCCCCGCTCAAGCGCGGCTCTGACCTGACTGGGGCGGGCGCCCCGCAGGTGCGCAAGGCAATCGGGGCAGGGCCAGGTAGCGTTCCATAGCGCGTGGGCGAACAGCTGGGATCTGGAAGCGCCTATGCCCAGCTCGTTGTCGTGCAAGTATCCATCGTGGCCGACCAGCTTCCGGCGCTGCTCTCTAAGTCCTGCGGGCGAGGCCCCAGGGCCGCACATGTGGGGGCGAAGGCTGAGCACGCAATATATCAGGAGGGAAAAAAACACACAGACACAATGAATCGACGATCCCCCAGGAAATATGGGAAAATATGGGAAGTGGAGGGGAAGACAAAAACCCAGAAAATATGGGAAAATATGGGGAATAATTTTATTTGTGTGTATTTATTTGTGTGTCCTGGGGCCCCTTCAATATAGGACAGCGGCTAGAGCGGGATCGTTCAGCACCTGCGCGCCTGTCTCCCGTAGTTCTTCGCTCACCCTGTCTCAAATGCGCGCAGGGTGAGCGGCGAGTCATGCAGGGCACGGAAGCAGAGGGCCCGCTGGTCGGCGATCCGCCGGCATTTCCGCTCGTCGCGGCGGCGTTCCTGTTCCGCCGCCAGTCGCACCTGCTCCTCGTGGGAAGGTGCCGGGGTGCGGGGGGCCGATCGGGCCCGCCCGTGCTCTGGCTGGTGCCCGGGGTCTCGCTGAGCACGTCTCGCTTGCGTGGGGCCCCGTCGAAGCTAGCCCAGAGACCGGCTGATTCCGCCCATGTTGCAAGTGTCCGCATGCGGGACTCGGTTGCCGCAGCCGCCATCCTGGCAGTCAACGTCATGATGACTCCGCCCCTTTCCCTTTGTCGTGGTATGCGCCAGAAAAGATGGTGGCGTTGACGGGCCATCCAATCTCGGCAGAGCCACCTGGGCGCGGTGCCCGCAGACGATCAGGCTGTCATTGTCCGCATCCAATAAATGACCCTCGATGGACTTGACGATGTCGCAGGCAGCGGCAGCTTCCCTGAGGATGGCGTTGCCTTCAACGTGGGGGGTCAGGGGCAGCTCGGTTGATTTCGCGTGCTTTAACAAGACCCGCATCGAGTCGCCTGGCTGGGCCCCATACTGGGGTTTGCGCAACCCGTGGGTCCCAATATGGATTGGTCATTGTCGCCGTCTCTTGGGGGTGGATCGCTGGGCGCTTGCCAGATTGGGTCGGCCTGCCTCCATGGGGCCTCAGAAACGGGCGGCCTCTGCGTGGGTGCGTGAGTTCGGCCAGAGAACAGCGCCCCCTTGTAGAAGGTGGCAGACCCCCGCGGCATAGTGCTGGGATGCATGCGGTAGCAAAGGCTGAACATCAGAGCGTGAATTACCTACCCCGCTTTCGCTTCCAGGCAAAACCAAGCCATACCACGCGCCTCCTGGTCAAGCGGCCTGACCAGTGCAGGCTGCAATTTGGCATCGTTTGGTAACTCTTGGAAGCGAGGGTGGTCAAAAGCGAGGTAGGTTTGTTTCCCCGTAGAACAGGACGCCGTGCCGGTCTGGCGCCCCCAGGGAGGGGCGAGCGCCGAGGTCCCCAGGCCGAGGGATTCAGCACGGGGGGGCACGACCGCGGGGCACAATTGGCTCTCGTCCCCACATGCGCGCAGTCTTCCACGCATGCTGTACACTTATGCTCCGCCTGCCGCTGCCCCTCAGGGGACCGCTCCGCCGGAGCTGGCGCGCAGGCTGAACCTCTCTCTGAGCCCCACAGCGCCAGGCGGCCTCCGCTGCGGGCGATGATGGACAGGGGGACGGCTGCTAAGGGCTCGGTTGGCTGCCCCGCCCCGTTCAGGATGGGGCTCTGCAAGTTGGGGCTGTCAGTGCCGTTGAACTCCGCTGCAAGCTCGAGTATGGCCAGCGCCAGCCGGGCACTGGCCAATGCTTGCTTCCTCTCGCGGGTAATGGCCTTGTGGCCAAGTTCACTGAGAGCCAGGTCGTTGTTCTTCCTGTGCCGCTCGGATGGGGTGAGGTCGCGGGCGGCGGGGCCGGTGACTTTGTCAGGGTTGGCCAGTCTGACGGCGGCCTCGGGGAAGCCGCAGCCCTTGTTCGGCCTGCCGGCTGGCATGGTGGGCGTCGGTGAGGTTTCTTCGCGGGCATGTCAGCACCCTTGTTGGAGCCAGAGAACCGCCCAACTGCCCAGCCCTGCGGGGCGCAGACCATCCAGAGGTCGATCAGTGCTGCCGCGGGTTTTGGTATTGCCGTTGCCGGGGTGTCCGTGCACGAGGGGCACCACTGCGTCGAGGGACTTGGGGAGTACCCTGGCCTGAGTCCGTTTAAGCCATGCCGCTTGGCCGTGTCCTCGGCCAGGAGTGGGGATGGTGAGGGGAGAGTGCGCTGGAAAACGCCTCCAGGCCATTCTTCCACCTCGGTGTTTCCGAGGGGTACACCATTTGGGGCTGGAGGGTAATCGTTTGGGTCGGGGACTCGCAGGTTGAGTGTAGCTGCAGCGAGTGCTCTTACTCGGCTCCCCGCGTCCATCAATTGCATGCCGGAGTTGACGCTGGCCCTGCCTTCAGCAGGGGCGCCGCGGAAGGCTATAAGGCAGGGGATGATGTGAGCCGAGATCCCAGTCATTTCGTCGGGTTGAACCTCGAGCATGAACAGTCGTTGCACTGCAGCCCAGACTCTGTACAATCGGGTCTGCCCTGGACTTTTGTCCACGCGGCACCAACCTGCACCTGCAGGGGGACGCTCGTAGGGGGAGCCGTCGGGGTGTACAGCGCGCCTTTTCCTGTTGTCAACGCCAACGATTGTGCGGTTCGTGAGATACCTGGTGTAAGGCACGCCATCGGCATGTGAGCCAGGGGAGGGGGGCCAGATGGGTCGCACTCCGCTCAGGCGGCCAGCGATGGGGGAGCGCCGAGAGATAAGGAGCGTAGTCGAGTCGTCACAGCGACGAACCTTCCTGAGGGCACGATGGCCTCCGCCTCCTCCTCGTCCTCCTCCCTCCTCCCCTCCTCCTCCTCCTCCTCCTCCTCCTCCCTCTCCTCCTCCTCCTCCTCCTCCTCCTCCTTCTCCTCCTGATATTCCTCCCGCTTTTTGTTGGGCGTTCACTGTCGCCACGGAGGGCGAAAAGAGAAGGATAGAGGACGCGGGGTAGGAGGAGGGAGGCGGGAGAAGAGGATCCCAGCACATCCCTCCTCGCGCGCCTCCTCCCCTTCCCTCTCCTCCTTTATCCATCCCTTCCCCTCCTGCCGCCCTCCCTTCCCCATTCCCTTCGCCCCCACCTCCTACTTTTCGTTCGCCTCCCCCCCCTCCTCCACCTCATACTCCTCTTCCTGCTCCTCCTCCCCCTCCATCTCACACTCCTCTTCCTTTTCCTTTTCCTCTTCCTTTTCCTTTTCCTTTCCCTCCTCCTCCTCCTCCTCCTCCTCCTCCTCCTCCTCCTCCTCCTCCTCCTCCTCCTCCTCCTCCTCCCCCCCCTCCTCGTACTCCTCTTCCTTTTCCTCCTCCTCCCCCTCCCTAGTTGTCTATCATACCTCCCCCCCCGCCGCCCGCCCGGCGAGGAGAAGCCGCCCCCAAAGGTCAACGATGGGAAGTACGAGATCGAGAAGACGCTGGGGGCAGGTTGCTTCGGGGAGGCGCCCGCCCCCCCCCCACCCCGCGCCTCTCCGAGGCTTCGGGGGACAACCGTGGGGAGGAAGGGGAGGAGGAAGGAGGAGTTGGAGGGAATGGAGGAAATGGAGGAGGGCGGAAATGGAGGAGGATGGAGGAAATGGAGGAGATGGAGGAGGATGGAGGAAAGAGAGGAGGAAGGAGGAAATGGAGGAGGATGGAGGAATGGGGGAACGAAACGGGCAGGAGGAAGGAGGAAATGGAGGAGGAAAAGGAACTGGAGGAGATGGAGGAGGAAATGGAAGAAATGGAGGAAGATGGAAGAATAGGGAAACGACTGACGACATAAACATGAACACTCGGAGGTCCGCGCGGATTTCGCGGATCCGCGCTGGGCCCCCCTGGCGTCGCCTCCGGCGCCGCCCTTGGCGCGCGGAGCGCGCCAGGGAAGGGGGCCCAGCGCGGATCCGAGAGATCCGCGCGGACCTCCGAGCGTTTACATCTGTTTATGTCATTTTTCGTTCCCCCAAGGAAGGACGAAGGAGGGAGGAGGGAGAGGGAGCGAGCCGAAGACAAGCGCCACAAAGCTGTCCTGGATCGGGGCTGGGCCTCCCGCCTGGCGCGCGGAGCGCGCCAGGGGCGGCTCCGGAGGCAGGGGGAGCCCAGCGCCGATCCAAAAGAAGCCTGCGCGGACCTCCAAATTTGTTTGTCTACGGGGGGGGGGGAGGAGGTAGCGAGGGAGGGAGGGAGGGAGGGAGGGAGGGAGGGAGGAGGAGGAGGAGCAGGAGGAGGAGGAGCCATGGCGACCCAGCAGCCATGGCGACCCAGCAGCCACGCGGACGAACACGAAGACACCAAGGCCCAGGTCCACGCCGAGCCCCTGGACAGCCAGCTCCTGGACGACGAGGACGCCCAGGCCCAGTTCCCCGTCGAGGGCAACCACGCCGTCGAGAACGGCCCGCTCGTCGAGGAGCAGCCCGATGACACCGAACTCCAAGACAAGCAGCAAGAGATCCGCAGGAGTTCTCGCTGTGCCCGAGTTCTGGCTTGCATGGCGTGGCACGGCTGGCAGCCCGCTTGCGCTGCGGCTGCCCAGGAGGAGGGCGGAGGGAGGACGAAGAGGGAAGAGCGAAGGAGAAAAGAGGTGGATTGGATGGGGATGGAGCGAAGGCGAAAGGAAGAGGGAAGCAGGGATGGATGGGGGGTATTTGTTCGGAAGTGTTGGGGTACACGGGGAAGTCTGGCCGGGGGGGAGGGTCGAGACTTCTCAGGACCCCAGGGGGGGCCGTGAACGGAGGAGGAGAGGGACGAACAGAAGGAGGACAATCGTAACTTTGGCTTCCATGAGCGAACTTGCAACATACACTCCCGTGCCAAGTCGCCTCGCAGGTCCCAGCAGGCATTCCATGCTATTGCGGGAAGTGCCCAAGTTCAAAAACATCTCATCAAATCCAAGGAGCGGTCTTGCGAGAATATCGCTCTGATGAAGCATCGCCCTCTACCCGTGTACGTGGCTCTTTCGCCCGGATCAGTTTTCCGTTTCAAGTTAAGCCGAGGAGGTATCAGGCGAAGGCGTCGCTTGGAGAAGGAGCCCTCATCCTGCATCGGTTTCGCACGCTGAGATGTCTGAGCACGCGAGGCCCCAGTTGGAAAGACGGCCGCCCTCCACTCGTGTGCTCGTGGCGCGTGTGGACGGCATCTTCACCCTTACATCCAGCGCAGTCTCCCGCCGCGACCGCTATGCACGGGGCTAGCGCGATAGCCTCAATTGGAAAACCAAGCGCCTTTTTTGTTCATCCGGGCGGTGGCAGAGAGCTGGTAGGGTGAATGTGGGTGGCGTTTCCACGAGCGCCTCAGTTGACAACGCGCCGCCTGCCACCGGTGTAACTTCAGGTCTCCCTAGCTTCGGTATCGAAAGTTGGCGCGAGCATTTCATGCGAAACGCCCCACTGCCCTACCGGCGCGTATACTTGGTCGACGGTCGAAAGTTGTATATACAGAAAATGATGGAGGAGGGAGAGGGGCAGGAGGAGGAGGAGTGAGGAGGAGATGGAGGAGGAGATGAGGAGGAGGAGGAGGAGGAGGAAGAGGAGGAAGAGGAAGAGGAGGAGCAGGACAGAGATGAGGATGTACCGAGAGCCGAACTGACTGACAGTTGTTTGTGTTTTGCAGGCGTCTTGAAGCTTCAAGAGGCTTCCAGAGCTCTCTGTTGGCTTTTGGGACGTTCCAGAAACATCCAGTGGAAGACTTTCGGAGATCTGTGGGGACCTCCAGGGCTTTGGGCGGAACCTCTTCAGAATCGGAGCAGGTCGGCTTACATTGGGAGCGGTTCTGTTCGAAATCTGGGTTTGGCGACAACCTGGGCGGCAAGCGGTGTCCCCAAGGTGTTGGATAAGAGGCTCGCAAGTTTGAGACAGCCCTTGCCCA